CCCCCCCTTTTATCCAATGCCTTAAAGTAATCATGGCATTCTTTTTTCTGAATACAGTATGGGCTAAGCCGATGATAATACAGTTGAGTTTTTGTTTGTTTGTTGTTGTTTTGTGGGGTTTTGTTCTGGTAGGCTAAGTGTTATGACGCTGGAAACTGTATTAGGATTATGAGCGCACAGGCGAAACATTAATATTCATAGTAACAGCTGGGGGCTGGAGTGGCCTGAAGAGGTTAAGGTGCTCGCCTTTCATTCAATAGGCCCGGGTTCGAATCCGGATCAACGGAAAATATTCTACTCTAAAATTTTTCTCCTTTCACATCCTTTCCTGCTCTCTAGCAATGTTCGGTCGTCTGTTTTCGTCTTCACTTTCTGCGCCCAAACCTCCTTAGCATCCCTATTGGCCTCCTGACTAAGCTATTTCATTTGCAGCCTCAACTGCTATAACTCCTTGGCTGCTTATTACTTCTCTCTTTCAGCCTCACCCCTAATCTTATGGTAGGAAAGATCTATAGGCCTACACCTAGCCTTCTTGAAAAACACCTTCACCTTCACCTATTCCATAGACTGCATGGATGTCCGTCGGGACACTTTTGAAGACCATGATGAGCTTCCTCCACTCCTTCCGGTCTTCAGCTTTCCAGAGCGTGTCTTTGAGTTCCAGACCTGTCCATTCCTTGATGTTGTCTTCCCAACTCTTCTATCTCGCTGTTATCTTCATTAGCATTTCTTGGGCAATGTCGCATATGGCAGAGCCCATCTCTCTCCATGTCAGAACACAGCCGAAATCCTCCCATCCGGTGGCTCGCCTTAGTCTCGAACACGAAGCCGTTAGGTTAATCTGGGAACTTTTTCCGCCATGGTCGTTCATCGTATCTTGTGGTTACTCTGGTTATGCCCAGTGATGCCGTAATGCCGTGTTAACATCGCCCCCTCACAAAGTTTGACACGCCTCCTGAGTAGGCCTAGTGCCCAAGACAGAAGAATATATAATTCTGTCTTGCTGAGGCGAGGTCCCGGGGTATGGCGCTTGGAGCCACGTGTGAGAGATTTAGGAATCTAGGGGAGAACCAGTGCAACAGTCCATCCTACAAGTAGGAAGCAGTAGCTAAGCAACAAAGACTATCTCTCCCCAAAACCCCTCTAACCTCAACCGTATCCTTCTTGAATAAGGGAGAAAAAAACTCGGAGATGCCGGGTGCAAGTTCTGCACGTTAAAGATCCCTTATGGTAGTCCTAAACCGATATAAGAGTAGGCTTCGGCTGCCACCAGGACAAAATTCAAATTTTCCATAAAATAAAATAATAGTAATAACTACTTTGACAGAGGCACACACGATAAAAGTTGCCATGGCACAAGGTTTAAAATTATTTAATATAATCCGTGGTGAAATAACAAAGATTGCAGGACTTCTGGTGATGTCAGATTAGTATATGCGTTCATGAATGTAGAGTGATGGGCTAATCAAGGGAACCCTTTTTGAAAACATCATTAGGAAAGAACAATAATTTGTTCATTTGTCACAATATTGATAGGCTGTTGCATAATCTAGGCTGCTGATGTTAGGTAGCCGCGGGAATCGAGTATATATATAAACTGATTCTGATTCAAAGCCAAACACATTGAGAGGGTGAACATGCTTAATAAACTGCTGATGCAGGAATACATCACACCC